ATACATAAATAAATGTTTAAAATTTAATCTACCCAGCCTCTGTTAACTAGCATCTCTTGGAAGCGCTGGAAATAGGTCAGAAATGAAATTATGCCCAGTACAGTGAACTTCCTCCCGACATGATTTCCTCCAATGCTCTGAAGGTCACACGTGCCACTGCTTAAGGTTCCCTGGAAAAGCTGCTATTCCAAGAGCTCCCTGAAAGAGCTGGTGTCTTCGGGGTCCTGTGGGAGCCCACCTTTTTCTAACTTTAGATCCAAATGAAGCTACTTATAACTCGGTTCCGCCATGGAAAGATTCCCAAAATTTCTAGAAGAGAGAAATGGGTTTGTTGTTTAGCACAAGTGAGGGAGAAGAAGCACCAAATGGCTTCTGCCACTCAGTTCCTGCGCGAAGGGCCTGCTGATAACCATTAACAGAGCCTTCCAGCTGCCAGGAAAAGCAATGAAACAGGATGTGGTTGTACTGTTCCGAGGAGACACACTGGCACTTCAAGGACAGCTTGACCTGAAAGTCCAGAAAAATCAATGACCATCTATCTATGCCAGCCTCATCTAAGGATGGATTTATCGAATGCAGCCAGTCATTGCCTTAGAGAATCGACGGCTCGATCAAGCCAGTGTGAATTTAGAGATGGTTCACATCTTTGTATTGTGTTTATCTTAGAAACGTCACAATATCACCTCTGATGCTACCACTCTGTTTGCCTCAGGAAACCCAGTAGTCCCCTATCAGCCACAAGAAGTGAAATGGTGCACCCAGGAAACCCCCCACCAAACACCTCCCTGACTTGGAGAGAGACGAAACTGCCCCCCTGTTGCCAGATCCTTCCCTCACTTAGCCTGGCAACAAAAGGCCCCTAGGCTTTCAACCAAGTAGCACCCTGAGAAACCTTGACTTTGAAGTCAGGGTGGAGGAAGTTGCTGCAGCCCGTGGAGCTGCTGGTCATTCCAGTCCCCTGCACGTGGTGAGATAAGACCATCCAGGAGCCTGATGAGAGCACAGAGGAGGTGGGCACAAGTCTTTGCTGCCCCCAGAGACACTCCAGGATGCTGCTCTCAGAGTTCACAATACTCCTTTCTCCCCCACAAACCACCCCTGTAAGAGAAAGGGCAACCCTCAGAATGAGGCAGCGCGGGCATTCTTCTCAGAATAAAACACTGAGTACATTGTCACTTTGCTGTGTCTTATCATTCAGAATGAAAACCCACTCTCTGAGCACTGGGCCAAGGAGAATAACGCAAATGTATTGTTAGAATGTAAAGCAAACTGTGAAATGTAACATTATTGCTGTGACCAAACCATGAAATTTCTCCTTCAGATTTTTATTATTATTAATAAACTGCCATGAAAGGATTAAGCTATTTTGCAGGAAAAGTATAGTACATTAAAATCATTTCCACATATTTAAGATTAGGAACGCGTAATAAAATTGAGCCGGAAGATTTTTCCTGCAATTCCAAGGAATTCCTTTGAGAACACCCTACTGATATTGCTAGTGGCGTTTGATTAACGTGGCTACTAGGTTCTATTACAAAGTCCCTCTCTCCAACCTTGGATGAGCTTCCTCTGCCCAGGAGTCCTCTTGTGGACTTATTCTTGACACCCTCACACACCCTCAGAGCCTCACCAAGCCTTTCACTCCCCACAGAAGACCCTGCCCTCTGTGTCACTGAAAGTGAAGGGAACTGACTCAGCACTCCCAATCCTGCCCTCCATTTTCACTGTGTCCACACCTTCCCCCCACAACGGAAGAGGCGTCCTTTCACACTGCCAAGGCTAACCCCTCCAACTGTACCCTTGATTCTGTTTCCTCTGCCTCCTTGGGTACCTTATCCCATCATAAAACCACCACCCCTTCCCTCTCCCATCTCATCCTCTCTGGAAACATGCATAAATATATTCTAGAAAGCCTCCCCTCAAGTCAGAGATTTCAGAGGGTTCTTGCCCTATATCTCTCATTCCATTTGTCACCAATAATATTGAAAGGATACTTGATTGATTTACTAAATATTTATTGAGTTCCTTCTACTTTGTGGCAGGCATTATACTAGATACTAAGGAGATAACAGAGTAAAGACATGGTTCCTCCTTCTAGTAAAGGCAATAAGAAAAATACAGCAAATTACCCTGTACTCATATGACAGGTGACATTAAGAAGCAGGGATCTGAAATGGAGCTGAGCAGAGGACCTGTTGTAAACAAAGTGGGTGGGGAAGGCCTCTCTGATGGCAGGATATTTGGGGAAAAGACCAGAAGGGTGAGAAGGAGCCCTGGAAAGAGTAAGGAGAAGAGCAATTCTAGCTGAGGGAACAGGATGTGCAGAGCCCCTGAGGCAGAAATAACCTGGCTTGTCTGTGGAGCAGAAAAGATGTGGTTAAAATGCAGGGAGCGAGGGTGAAATCAGAATGATCTTGAGGAGACAGGCAGAGATTAGATCATGTAGGCCATAGCTAGGAGCTTAGAATTGATCCTGAATTCAAAGAATAGATATTGAAGTCATTGTCACAGAGTAATAAGAAAATGATGCCCCTTGCAAGTGTGTGAAGAAGAAACTGGAGGGAGCAAAACCAGAAAGAGCAATTAAGAGGCTGCTGCTGCAGCCTGCTCTACCATGGTGGCGGGGAGACAGAGGGAAGGGGAGGGATTTGCAATATCTTTCGGAGATAAAATGAATGGGACTTGCTGATAGATTCAGTGAGGGGAGTGAGGGAACGGAGCCATTAGGGTGACTCTGCGCCTTCTGACATGAGCAGCTGGGTAAACGGCGGCGGTGCTCTGGATTTGGGTGGGAGGAGATACATTTGAGGGAGCAACACATTCGGGAGAAACAAGTGTTCTGTTTTAAACGTGTTAAGTTTATATATGTGCAACATCCAAACAGAAACATCAACCACAGATGTAAGGAGCTGGAGCTCAGAACAGTGATCTGGCCTGGAAGTGAAATTTAGTGTGTTCAGCGTGAAAATGGTATTTAAATCCGTGAGAGCGTTTAAGATCGCCTGAGAAGAGAAAAAAATAGAGGAGATACAAGAGAAAGGAAAGTTAGAGGAAAATATAATTTTTAAAAACAGAAAAAGACACAGAACCACACCTCCAGAATCCAATACTTAAAGGTTGACTAGAGTAGGAGGGGCTACATAAGAGGAGCCACCAAAGATATAAAGGGAAAACCACAGAAGTGAGCAGAGCAGAGAGAGTCTATGAAGGGGTGGTCAGCTGAGTGGAATGCTTCTGAAAGGTCTGGCTTCGTGGAGTTCGTCTCCCTCTATCATTTCTGCTTCTCAAAATGTTACCCATCCTTCAAAGCCCAGGTAAGATAACATGACCAAAGCAACTACTTTCTTAGAAATCACCAGGGACCACCCATCTCTATATCCAATATCTTTTCTCAGCCCTCATTCTCCTTGTTACCTATAAGCCTGTGACATCGGGGATCAACTGGTCCTTTGTGAAACTCTCTCTTCTCCATTGAGTTTCTGTTTACATAACCCATTCCTAGTTCTCCTATTTTTTTTTTTATAAAATTATTCTTCGCTGACTTTCCTTTCCCTTCTATTCCATAAATGTCTGTGTTTCCTAAGTTGTCTTTGGGCCCCTTTGTGCAATGCTCTGCAATCTCATTTATTCACAAAGCTTCAACAACCACCCTGTACCTGATTCTAAAACCCAAATCTCATGCCAAACCCAATCTATCTCTCTCTCTCTCTCTCTCTCTCTCTCTCTCTCTCTCTCTCTCTCTCAAAGACTCAGGCTCTCGATCCCAGTTTCCTGCTCAACATTTCTAGATCAGGGTCACACTATTTTAAAAACCTTTCTTTGCAAAACCAAACTCTTCATCTTTGCTTGAAAACCTTCTGATTATATTTTTATTTATGGTGCAGCCATCTTCCCCTTGAAATTATCAAGTCCTTGTTGACTCAGTCTTCCCCTTCATCCCAGATAATCAATAAATGTGTTTCTATTGAACTTCCTAAACACTTCTCTTGACTCTCCACTACCACGTAGTCCTATTGCCACTGTTTCAATTCAATTGCCCCATCATTCTGTGAAATCACAGGCCCTAGAGAAGAGGTAGAACTCTTCTAAGTGGCATGGGAAACCCCTGGAGCAATTTGACCAGGGAAGAGACATGACCTAATTATCGTTTTTCAAAGACACTCCCTGATTCAGCTTCAGCATATCTAATTAACCCCCTCTCTCACTAATCCTCTTCAGACCCATCAGGCTCCAACTCAAATAAACAGCTTAGACTTTCTAGAACCTACCCTATTCTCACTGCTGTGTAGCTGGTCACCTGATCTCCCACCCCATTCCAGATCACCCTCTGTCATTTCTGCCTTTGAATATTACTCCTCTTTCAAAGCCTATATATGATGACATCTCCTCAGTAAAGCCTCTTCATCCCTTCTAAGCCAGTAATAATCTGTTCTCTTAATTCCCCTGGCAGATTAATTGTGCATCCATCACAATACCTGTCTTGCCCTATTTTGTGTTTTAATGATTTGTGTGTGACATTTCTCCCCTCTTATGCCATAAATATCCGAGGACAAGTACTATGTACCCCTCATTTTTGTTCCACTACAAATCATAACACATACCTTGCACACACCAGACCTTCAGGAAATGCCTGCCAAGGTAATAAATGGACAGCCATAACTAACATAAATGATTGCTTTGTGTACCGATCCAGTCCTAAATCCATGGTGCTATCATTTCTGTATCACTGATGGTTATCCACTTACTTAAATAACCTTTCTTTGAATACACTTTAAAAAGATGGAAAATTGTGTTATAAAGGAGGAACAAGTATGTAGGTTATTCCCTATCTTAAACAAAGAGAAGCTCTGTTATGCGTCATGGAAAATTAAAGCACAGTATTAAAATGCACCAACAAGTCTTGTTGAAGAATGATTTAGTGGAAACGTTGCTTTGCCTCCTGTTCGTAGGTCCTAACGTTCACGTACTTAAGCTGCACATTCTATTTATTTTGTTTTTAGATTACATTGACAACGATTGGCTATGGAGACAAAACTCCCCTAACTTGGCTGGGAAGACTGCTTTCTGCAGGCTTTGCGCTCCTCGGCATTTCTTTCTTTGCACTTCCTGCCGTGAGTATCTTTGCAAAAATAAAGCAGTTTAAATAAGATCTTAGAGGTTTATTAGTGTGAGTTTTTGCAAATTCATATGCCTGAGAACATATCTATATCATTTACAAACATAATTTTTCTGATAAAATGTTGACTTTCCTACATCTATCTATGTAGATAATTTATAAAATATAATCTTCCCTTGGAGATGCTTAGCCTGAGAGTTTTATATCAGCTGGATCTTTCTGACCAAATAATAATTCAGATGGCATCACCTTTCTGTCAACACGCTACTAGTACATTAGAATATTTGTAAAGACTTAAAGATTTCTTTTTAAATTGATTGCTCCAATTTGGTTTATAATGTATGCTGCTGAAAAGATGGATGGGCACAAATGGAGTATTTACCTCTTCAGACCCATTTGAGTGACAATCATATGACCTTAAATGATTTTCAGTGTGTCCGATGATTTATTCTTTGTGTCATCATCATTGATTTTTCATAATGAGCAGCTTCTGCATCTTATCACAATGAAGAGCACATTTATCTTCTCCCAAGCTTCTGATTATTTTCTCCTTAATGGATGAAGCTTGTCTTTCTGATCATTTTCTCCTCTTGTTTCTTTAAAGGAAATTGGTCAAAATATTACGATTTGCCTCTATCCACAAGCTCTCACTTTTGTTCACACCACCCCTCATGGGGGAACAGAGCCAACAAAAAAGCAGTTTTTAAAGCAGTGGCAGCAGTCATGCTTAAGGAACAACAGCCCCAGTCTCACTCCAGACACGAGCTGACTCACGTCATGGTGTCTGCTGAGCAGAGACCCCACAGCACCCCTCCAAGGGGAGCCAAGGCAGTGGGGATTTTCACACCACTGCCCTGAGCTCACGGGGCTGCTTCTGTGCCCACGAATCAATGCAAAGGACGTGCTTATCCTTCTCATGGCCACTGCCCAACCGCAGATGGACCAGCTCGTTCTGCCCCAGACACAACGTCACAGAGAAGAGACCGAAAACACCACACAGAAGCTTGAGCATTAGACCTCATTGTGAACTCTGTTGTTGTCACGTGCTATCTATATGGCCATTTTAGTTTGATCGGGCTGCTGTAACAAGGTATCACAGATTGGGTGACTTAACCAAAGAAAGGTATTGTCTCTGGAGGCTGGAAGTCCAAAGTCAAGGAGCTGGCAGGGTTGGTTCTTTAGGAGGGCGATGAGAGAAGGATGTGTTCCAGGCCTCTTTCCTTGGTTTGTAGGTGGTCTTCTTCTCCCTGAGTCTTTACATCGTCTTCCCTCTGTACATGTCTGTGTCCAAATTTCCTCTTTTAAAGACACCAGCCATATTGAATTAAGGCTCATCCTAATGACCTCATCGTAACCTGATTATCTCTGTAAAAACCTTATCTCCAAATTGGGTCTCTTCTAAGTGATTAGGGATTAGGACTCCAATATACGAATTTTGGAGGGACACAATTCAGCCTATAACAATAGCCTTGGGTACATTTCTTCATCAGTATAGTGGAGGAAGAATTATTAGGCTCAGAGAAATTTTGTGAAGACCTACATGGTAATGTAAGTCCAGTGCTTGTCATAAAAAAAAAAAAAGAAAAACCTTTTTCCTGTATGAATCTAGATATATGTGTTTTCTGTTGTGAAACAGACAAAATCAAGGAGAGTCAAAAAAAGCATCTCACTTACTCAGTCAACTTATCTGGCAATGCCAATTATTTAGAACACAGAGGAGATTCAATCAATAATCAGATTCCCTACAGGAAAATAAATTTACAAGTAATAAAATGTGGCCTTGGGCTTTTTTCCCAAAATAATGGCACAAAATACCTGCTGCTTTTGTGTTTATACTTATCCTGAGGCCACATACGTAATAACCTCTGTGATCCAGTGACAAACTACAAACAGGGAAGTAGGCAACCTGTGGACTGTGAAAATCAACAACAGTGTATGTGCTGTCCTGGTAGAAGAGCCTCCTGAGACCTACTTATAACCTTTTCTTAACTTAGGGAACATTTTGATAAGCTTAGCTATATAGCTTCACAATTCTTTGAAGATTATAAACAGCAAATATTGAGGTAGGCTGATAGAACAAACATGACAACAGGAAGAGATGGTGAAAGACTGACAAGGGAAGGAAAAGAAAATCTGTAAGAAGCAAGCTACAAAAAAGTGTTCAAAATGTATAATGACATAGGGCCAATTAGTGTTAGGGTCAACCCACCTCTGGGAGCTAGCTGCATCCAGCATGAAGAAACACCTGGTCCCCATCAATAAACTCTGGGCCATCACAGAGGGATTAAACTGTGTCACTCTCTTAGGTTCAAGATCAGAGACTAAGTAATCATTCTTGGAAAATTTTCCCAATAAAGTGATTATAACTTTTTATATAAGCAATTAAATTAATATATGTTGGAAATCAAAAAACTTGCTTGCACAGAACAGAACATTCCCTAACAATGCCAAGAAAAGTAAACCTTACCATGGATCTTTTTACTGCAACCTTATATTAGATGTTAAATTCCTATATATTGAATGAATGACAAAATGGTTCATATATTCCAAAAAAAATAAAAAAAGGTGGCTGGAAATGCCATTATGTCTTGTGCCTCCGCCAGCTGACATGTCTGATTGAGATTTAGGAGAGCACATTGGCATTTTGCTAAGAAAGTTAGAAGTGGATTGTGGGCTACCCCTGTCAGAGGTTTCTCCCACCCAGAAAACCTGAGGACCAAGAAAGAGAAGAGCCTTTTACCCTCTTTCCCTCAAAGTAGAAGGACTCTTCTGCACACCACAGAGTCATGCAGACCACCCTTTCCAAGCTCCACTGGGGGGTTTCTTTCCCTGAGGCCCACTGCATCCTGGGCTAATAAGCTTGCAGAGGCAGCTTCAGTTCCTGGCATGGCCCTGAGGAGCAGGCCCTTGTCTTCAGGATGCTCCCTTCCCTCCTGCTAGATACTCCTGCTAAAAGTCTTTCAGTCTAGTCCAGGGGTCCACAAACTGTGGCTCGCGAGCCACATGCAGCTCTTTGGGTACATTTTGTCTCAAAAGTTTGCCGACCCCTGGAAGAGCCAATCCTGTCCCTCACAACAATTTAAAAATTATTCAAGAGCCATAAATATATTTTTACAAATAAGGAAAATTTAAAGTAATATTATAAATGAAACTATGATAGTTTTATTTTCATTTTCAATTTTACTTCAGAGTCACATGTACGTACCCAAAGAACCGCATGTGGCTCACGTGCCGCAGTTTGCCGACCCCTGGCAGCTCTTCCATCTCAAAAGTTTGCAATGCATGGGGTACGAGTTAGGCTCATTTAATATGGAAGATATCAGGAATAAATATTTTAAATGCTTACCAAAACATGTTTTCTTTCCATGTGGTGTTTAGGTAGCACTTCTTGGCATAGTACCAAAATTTAAAACCTACAAATTTAAGTCATATGATCTTAGAAAAATGGATTCAAACAAAACTCAATTTCTAAGAATTTGTATCTATTGGTATCAATATTGGAAGGGATGGCACATAATTATATTTATGTGTGTTATATATGTATATGTACAAGTATATAAACATAATAGACTTTATTTTAGCAAACTTCCATTTAGACTCACTGAGCTGTGTTCTAAGAGAGGTGGTAGAAAATTGGAATGGAGCAATCATGAGACGATGAGCAGACCTGGTTTAATAACGGTTGTAATATACAGTCTGGTCCAAGAGATATGTAGCAAATATTTGCCATCAACTAATATAAGTTTCTAAGCAATGCCAGTGTGACTTTCAGCACATTTTGGGTTGTTTAGCAGATGCTAAGTTTATGCTGTTTAGGGTCTGTCGTCATTTTCCAAAAGGGGTTTAAGTCTGAACCTCATATCTACATACCAAGTGCTCCAAAATGGTAGCTATTACTATTCATTCAATATCTACAAAATCGAATTGTGCTCCATCTGAGTGGATTATACATCATACATGGTATAAATATATGCTATAAATTCTAATGTTTTATATTCACTTACATGTTTATACTTCATGAAAAATGACATTAAAAAGAAAATACTTTTTTTCTAAATGATCAAATAGCAGGGAAAAAAATTAGGAGTTACAAATGACTACAGTTGATCTGGATTTGGAAATGGAGAGCCATTTTTTATAGTCTCCAAGTGGAGAGAAATGTTCTTTAAATCTGAAAACAAGATCATACAGTTCAGGTTTTTATAAAGGTTAGTTGGTGTAATCACAACCTATATGAGATAAAGATCTTAGCCTGAGACAGTCACTGGAAAAGAGATGGAAAACAGAACCTATGACATAATTTCTAGTTTTATGGTACAGTCATTTATCCTAATTAATAATGGAGTCAAACATTGCTCTTTAATAACAAATAGTATTATCACGTAATTGTATTTTAAACCTACAGTAGTCCACCCCCATTATTGCAGGGTTTTTTTCTGTGGTTTCAGTTCCCATGGTCAACCTTGATTAGAAAGTATTAAATGGAAAATTCCAGAAATAAACAATTCATAAGTTTTCAATTGTATGCCATTCTGAGTAGCATGATGAAATCTCCCATCCTCGCGCTCTGTCCTGCCAGGACTTCATCCAGGGTATCCACACTATATACGCTACCCTCTCATTAGTTGCTTAGTAGCCATCTCCATTATCAACTGGGTTATCAGAGAGAGAGAGAGAAAGATCACATTCACATAACTTATATTACAGTATATTGTTATAATTGTTTTGTTTTATTATTGTTGTTGTTAATCACTTACTGTTCCTAATTTATAACTTAAACTTTATCGTAGGTATATATGTATAGGGAAAAAATAGCACATACAGGGTTCAGGACTACCTGCAGTTTTAGGCACCCACTGGGGTCTTGGAACACATCCCTGTGAATAAGGAGGGGACTACTATAGTCACATTACTTATTATCTGGTTACTGTCACAGATGTACTCAGAATTGTGGAGTCTCAAGATAAGAGGAAGGTTAAAGGTTATCTAGAACCC